CTGCTGGATGGACTGAGCGAGGAGGAGTGGAGAGAACCTAGGCAGACAGAGGAGTACATGTTTCCGTTTGTCTTTAGTCGCCTAAATCTCAGGGTCAGCTCACAGCTTCCGCCCTGAACAGCAAACCCTTTTCCTCATCTCCTGTTGTGCACTTCCTCCCAGAAGTGATTCAGGAATTAAACCTGGTGCTACTGAGCAGTAACTGAGTCAAAGAATTCAAATTTTTTAATAGGAAGAACTTTCCAGGTTTAAAATACACTGGACTTATTCAAAAGAGCCTCCTTGTGGATATTTTTAAGAGTAAATTTTGCCACGCACTGTATCAAGTGGGAGCTCAGTAGCAGCTGAGAAGTTTGGCATTCTCTGTGAGACTTGGAGTGCAACCTTGCCTGAGAAGGAGCTCTCGTAATTGATTCTAAACTGACTGGGCTTGGACAACCCAACTGACTAAATTTCTAACCCAACTCTCAGCTTTCAGGAGTCTCTTTGTAGGGAGAAGTCTTGGTATAGGCAGGAAAGAGAAATTAATGCCTACATTATTCCAGTAAAGCTCCTATAATGCACAGGAGGATTTTTTGTGTGTGTCCTTTAATTGCAGAAGGAGCTGTGATACTGCACAGCTTATCTTCGTCTCCAGTCCTGTTTAAAATTCCTTCCAGTCGATTTCTTCTCTCACTTGTATTTTGGAGTAGAGTCAGGGCTTGGCTTGAGGCCATCAGATGTGCAGCGAATTCAGTTCTGCAGTGACATCCGTTTCAGTTCCCTGTGATAGGGACTGACTGATTCTAAAGTGATCCGCACAGGTTGGCCGTGTAGCTCACAAGCGCTGCTGCTCTCTGCATATCACAGGCTTGTGATTTTAAGTAGAGTCAGCTCTTCTGAAGTTGTCACTTGAATGGTAAGTGGTAAGGAATTTGGTGCAGCTGCAGCACCCTCCTGTCACTCATCCAGGCAGGCGGTAGCCTCTTGTTGGCCTATACTACCTCCATCCTGGTGGACACAGGCATGAATTGACACGAGAGGGAACTTTGGGATGTAGAGGAAGGATTGGGGGTCAAGGGCATAGCTTCTTAATACAGAAAGAGCAAATCAGACAGCAAGAAAAATATTATGAGAATAAACGTGGTAGAAGATTGCAATTTAAGTGTTTGGTTCTTTAAAAGAATCATTTCATTTTTATACAAATTTAACTTCATAGTTCTGCCACAAGGGCATCCTACATCCGAGACAAAGATAGATGAGAGCCCAGCTATTGTGTGTGAAAATGAACAGGTGCATTTAGTGGGAAACGTTCCCTTTCAGCCGTTCGGCACTGCTTTTCCTTTATGCTAGAGCACCTTGGTCCCCAAGCATCACAGCCTCAGCCACCCCTTAGCCATTTCACAGCACCACCGGCAGGTTTTTAATGGCACTGGAAGACGCCTACTAAATTAGAGCTGCGTGGCCAGGGCTCTTGAGGGATCACTGGGTAAGAGGATCAGAGCTCTGCGTGCGTGTCTTGCGAAATCCCTGTCCTCTGTGGCTGCCCCCTTCCTGGCCCAGCTTGGCTTCCTCCAGGCAGGTTTAGTGTTTGTTCACTTCTCATCTTTGTCAGAAGGTAGTGTACACACAGTCCTTGTTATTTTTAGTTTATTAGGTAAAAACACCTTAGGATTTGAATCAGATTGAGGAGCCTGAAGAGTGTGAAGTTGTCCTGAGCAAGTCTAAATTCGCAAGGTGGCGTTCCATGGAAACAGGCCCCCGAAGGGTTTGGAAGAGCTCCACTGAAGCTTGTGTGTGTTTGTTTCTCTTTCCTTTGGTTGGTGGTTGAGAGAAATTGCCTTTTTACAAAAGTGTATTGGTTTTCTGCTTTTGCACATCAGTGTAGTGGCTTCTCTGTCAGAACCAGCCCTTAATGATCACAGAGCGGAGAGGCCACGAGCCCCTCTTTAAATCTTGGCATTCTTCACATATAGAAACAAACTGCTAACCTTTCTAAAAATTAAATCTTTCCCTTAAATGTTTTCCTGACATTGACTCATCAGTGTAGGAATGTCTGTATTGACCCTCTGTTTACTTTTTATTATCGTAGTGTTACTGCCCAACGTGGGGCCTTCTGCTTGCCACAAGACATGCCAATAATCAAGAGGCAAGGTGGTAGGAGAAAATGGACTTTTTATCATAGCTTGCTAGCAAGAGGGAAGATGGCCGACTCATGCCCAAAAGAACCATCTTAAGGGGTCACAAAATCTTACAGCAGTTATGTAGGCCATCGGGTTATTGGGGAGGGGGTTAGGAATGTTGACCTTCGGGTGTTACACACTGGGAGTGCCACACCATATCTTTGAGTTTTCACTGATAATGGCTGTCAGCACAGATTCTCTGTTCGGGGGTCATCACATTCCTAAGGAACTCAAAAAAACAAAGTTATCATCTTATCGCAGCTGGGAGGTACATGCACAAGCAGGGGTCGTAAAATCTACAGAGCAGTTAGATCTCCTGGGGGGTGCATATCCAGCTGGGTTATTTTGTGAGAGGTCATTCAAAGTTACCATAAAGTTTTTCTTTTCTACAATGTGGCTTCCCTTATTTCAACCTTGTCTTGAGCCAGTATCAATAGGACAATTTTCAGCCATTCTATAAAACAGTTGAGAGAATAATAAAATGAACCCCCCATGTACTCATCACCCAACTTTTGCAATCGTTATTTGCTCTATTTTATTTTTCTGGCTATTTTTAGTAAATTACAGACATTATGATGTTTACTACCAAATACTTAAATATGCATTTTTTTTTTTTTGCTTTAGCTGTACAGGGTCTTTTGTTGCCCCATATGAATGTTAGTATTCTTTGTTCTATTTCTGTGAGGAATGTCCTTGGGATTCTGATTGGGTTGCATTGAATCTGTAGATTGCTTTAGATAGCACGGACATTTTAACTATGTTTATTCTTCCAATCCAAGTGCATGGAATATTTTTCCATTTCTTTATGTCATCATTGATTTCACTCAATAATGTCTTATAGTTTTCATTGTATAGGTCTTTCACTTCCTTGGTTAAATTTACTCCTACATATTTTATTCTTTTTGTTGCAATTGTAAATGGGATTGTCTTCTTGAGTTCTCT